GAGGATGGAGGGAGGGTGTATGGATGATGGATGGATGGATGATGGATGGATGATGGATGGATGATGGATGGATGATGGATGATGGATGATGGATGATGGATGATGGATGATGGATGATGGATGATGGATGATGGATGATGGATGATGGATGATGGATGATGGATGATGGATGATGGATGATGGATGATGGATGATGGATGATGGATGATGGATGATGGATGATGGATGATGGATGATGGATGATGGATGATGGATGATGGATGATGGATGATGGATGATGGATGATGGATGATGGATGATGGATGATGGATGATGGATGATGGATGATGGATGATGGATGATGGATGATGGATGATGGATGATGGATGATGGATGATGGATGATGGATGATGGATGATGGATGATGGATGATGGATGATGGATGATGGATGATGGATGATGGATGATGGATGATGGATGATGGATGATGGATGATGGATGATGGATGATGGATGATGGATGATGGATGATGGATGATGGATGATGGATGATGGATGGATGGATGGATGGAATCCATGGATGGATGGATGGATGGAGAAGAACATGGAGAAGAGGATGGATGATGACAAGAACCAGGGACAATCTGGACACCTCTCAGTTCCTCCATGGTGTGTCTGACCCTCATCCCGAGCCAGTCCCTGGGAGCCATGGGTGACGTCCCCGGGCTGCCCGGTGGTGCCAGGCTGTGCTCTGGAACATCCGGCAGTGCCACCACTCCGGAATGTCCGGTGGTGCCAGGCTCCTCTCCGGGCTCCAGGGGCTCAGCCGTTACCACGTGGCGCTGCAGAGGATGGCAGGGGACATGCTGTCCCTGCGCCGCCGCGTCGCCAGCCTGGAGGCCGAGAACAGACACCTGCGGCACAGCCTGGCGCGGCTCCGGGAGCCGGTGGAGCTCCGCCACAGCCAGCCGGACAAACTGAGCCGGGAGGAGCTGCTGGAGCGACTCGGTGAGTACTGGGCATGGGCAGGGCACTGCCACCCTGCAGGGGTGACGGGGACATGCTCTTGCAGCCACCCTGGGGACACCCTGGTCGCTGCCACCCTGCCTGGGTGACAGGGACATGTTCTTGGGCACTGCCACCCTGCCTGTGTGACAGGGACATGTTCTTGGGCACTGCCACCCTGCCTGGGTGACAGGGACATGTTCTTGAAGCCACCCTGGTGATGAGCAGCGACACTGCCACCCTGCCTGGGTGACCAGGATGTGGTGTGTCACCCTGGGGACGAGCAGGGCACTGCCACCCTGTCTGGGTGACGGGGACATGCTCTTGCAGCCACCCTGGGGACACCCTGGTCACTGCCACCCTGCCTGGGTGACAGGGACATGTCCTTGCAGGCACGCTGGGGCGCGAGCTGGCGGTGGGTGCTGCGGAGATGCGGGGGCTGCGGGACCGAGTCCAGCGGCTGCAGAACGAGCTGATCCGGGTACGGCTGCGGGCACCCCGGGCCCCACCAGAATTCCCACGGGATTTTCCCAATCCCACCCACACCCCCCGCAGAAAAACGACCGCGAGAAGGAGCTGGTGCTGCTCCAGCGGTGGCACCGCCAGCAGCAGGCGACACTGAGGAGGTGCCAGGACAGGGTGGCCAAGGCCAGGACGCTGGAGCAGGCGCTGCGGCAGCAGGAGAAGGCGAGCGCGGGCTTGGGGTGGCGAGGGGGGTTTGGGAGCACCGGGAGTTCCACGGGGTCCCTGGAGTGGCGCTGGGGACACGGCGACAGCGGTGTCCCCTGCTCAGGTGATCGAGGCCATGGAGCGGCTGCTGCGGGAGAAGCCGGGCAGGAGCACGAAGACACCCGCGGGTGGACAGGGGACAGGGACACACAGGGATGTCCCCAACCCTCCCTGCCATGGTCCGGGATGGGCAGGAGACACCCGCGGGTGGGTGTGGAAGGGACAGGGACACTCAGGGATGTCCCCACCCCTCGCTGCTGTGATCCCTGGCCCCTCATTCCCGACCCCCCGGGCCCTGTCCCTGCACGGGGAGGGACACGGGACACGTCCTGCTGTCCCCCCACGCCACCCCACAGGTGACAGCCTCGGCGGGGACGCGCTGGCGCTGCTGCCCGAGAACCGGCGGCTGCGAGGGGAGCTGGCCAGAGCCCCCCGGGCCCCGGCGCTTCCGGTGAGCCCGGGGAGGGGACACGGGGCTGGCGCGGGGGACAGAGCCCGAAAACAGCAGCGGGGAGGGGCGAGATCCTAATCCCGCTGCTGCCGTGCCCGCAGGGGGGCCTGGGGGGCTCGGAGAAGCTGCGGCTGCTGGCCCGGCTGGAGGAGGCGCAAGCCCGCGGGCGAGTGTTGGAGAGGCAGGTGGGCACCACCCCCACTTGGGGGGCTCGGGGGGCCGAGCAGCTCTGGCCCCCATCTTTTGGGGCCACCCATCGTATTTTGGGGTCACCCAGCGTGTTTTGGGGTCTGTCGTAGCTGGAGAAGGCGGCCAGGAGATGGGGCCGGGAGAACCAGGAGCTGGGGACGCGTTTGCTGGAGCGGGAGCACGGCCTCCCCCCGGCCCGGGTGAGGACCCCCAGTGTCCCCCTGCCCACCCCAGAGCCCTCCCCCGGCCCGGGTGAGCGCTACGGGGACAGGGGGTGACCCCCAGTGTCCCCCTGCCCACCCCAAAGAGGGGGATGGATTTACTCCCCCCCTCAAAGTCCTTTCCCTGTGTCCCCCAGACGCTGCCGGCCGTTCCCGTGCCCCCCCGGAGGAGACCCCAGACCCTGCCCCCCCTGCCCTGACCCCGCAGAGATGGAGATGCCCGGGGCTGGCACAGAGGAGCTTTTCCATGGATCAGCGGCACAGGAGATGGGAGGCGAAGCAGAACATTCCAGGGGGTCAGGGGAGCTCGGGGGGACCCCCGGGGAGGCGGAGGGACCCCTCCCACCCACCCGTCCCGCTCTCCGTGGGGTGGCCCCGCTTTATCTCCCCCGTGGCGTAAGCGCAGCCTTGAGCCAAGGCAGGGACGCGGCAGCCAAGGCTGCGGCCCTGAAAGCGTCCCGGCTGTCCCCAGATGCCATCCCGGGGCCACCGAGAGCCGCCGGGAGGTGGGGGCGTCACCGGACTCCTCACGCCGGGCACTCCAGGGGCCGCAGGGTCAGCTGGATGGGTTTGTCCGGGATCAGGATGAGGTCGAACTTGGTGCCGATTTCCACGGCCCTCATGGTTTCAATCTTGAAGTTCTCCAGGATCTGGGATGGAGGAGGACGGGGCTCCGTGGGGTTTGGAGCCACACCAGGGGGGTCGGAATGGGGGTGAGCCTCAAGGCCCTTCTGAGCCAGAGCACCCCGGGATTTCACAGGGACGGAGCACAGGAGGCATGGTGGGGACACAAGGTGGGGACACAGTGGGGACACTCTGGGGACACACGGTGGGGACACGATGGGGACATGGCGGGTCGCTCACGTGCATGAGGAAGAGCTGCATCTCCAGCTCGGCGATGCGGCGGCCCAGGCACTGCCGCGGCCCGAAGCCAAAGCCGAGCCCCTGGAAGTGTTTGGGGCCGGCGGCGAGCCAGCGCTGCGGCCAGAACTGCTCCGGCTTGGGGAACACGGCGGGATCGCGGCCCATGGCGTAGAGCCCCACCTGCACCAGCGTCTGTGGGGAGCAGCAGCCGCGTGGGCCTGGGGTCGGGCCACAGTGCTGCTCCCTGTGTCCCTGTGTCCTCCTGGCCCTGTGTCCTCCTGGCCCTGCGTCCCCATGTCCCTGTGTCTCCATATCCCCGTGTCCTGTGTCCCCATGTCCCATGTCCTGTGTCCCCATGTCCTGTGTCCCTGCATCCCCATGTTGCTACATCCCCACATCCCAGTGTCCCATGTCCAGTGTCCCATGTCCCTGTGTCCCCATGTCCCTGTGTCCCATGTCCCTGTGTCCCCGTGTCCCTGCATCCCTGTGTCCCATGTCCCTGTGTCCTCGTGTCCCTGTGTCCCCACAGTGTCCTGTGTCCCCACATCCCCATGTCCCATGTCCCTGTGTCCCATGTCCTGTGTCTCCACAGTGTCCCCACAGTGTCCTGTGTCCCCCCGGTGTCTCTCCAGTGTCCCCCCGGTGTCCCCCCATGTCCCCACGGTGTCCCCCCTGTGTCTTGTGTCCCCATGGTGTCCCCCCATGTCCCTGCCGTGTCCCCCCATGTCCCCCTGGTGTCCCCGCGGTGTCCCCGCGGTGTCCCCGCAGTGTCCCCCCATGTCCCCCCGGTGTCCCCCCATGTCCCCCCAGTGTCCCCCCCATGTACCCGCGGTGTCCCCGCGGTGTTGCTCACCCTGGCCGGGATGCGGTATTCCTGCAGGATGACCTCGTGCGTGGTGTACCTCTGCAGGGTCACGGCCACCGGGTGCAGCCTGCGTGACACACGTGCCACCCGCGGGCCTTGGGGACACTCTGGGGCACGTCCTGCCCACCTGAGTGCCTCCTCCTCCTCCTCCTCCTCCTCACCTGAGCGTCTCCTTGATGGCGGCCTTCAGCAGCCGCGTGGATTTCAGCATCTTCTCCCTGTCACCGCCCGTCTCTCTCTTGGCTGCCAGGACCTCGGCCCGCAGCTGCTCCTGCACGCCTGGGGCCCGCGCCAGCTCCAGCAGGGCCCACTGCAGCGTCATGGACGTCTGGGGGGACAGGGACAGGCCATGAGCTGCCAGGACCTGCTCCTGCCCAGCTCAGCCCAGCCAGGACCTGCTCAGAGATGCCAGGACCTGCTTCTTGGCCAGCTTGGTGTTGCCCCACCAACACCAACCAGGACCCTCTCCCTGCCCCACGCGCCCCAGCCAGGACCTGTCCCCGCGGCCGTACCGTGTCCACCCCTCCGGCCATCATCTCGGTGACGCTGGCACGGATGTCGTCCAGGGGCAGCCGGGCGCGCAGGATCAGGTTGCCCAGGATGCCCACGTGCTCCTGGGCGCTCCTGTGCCGCAGCCGCAGCTCCCGGTACACGTTCTGGATGCACTTGTCCGCTGAGGGGACACCGGGAGACACCCGGGGACGTCAGGAGGTGGCCGCGGAGGAGGAGGGCCCCTCCCCAGTGGTGGTGGTGGCACTGACCCTGGCAGAAGATGACATCCCAGGCCTGCACGTGCTGGCGCCAGGTGCGGGTGTTGAGGCGGCGCAGCAGCGCGGGCGGCAGGTGCAGCATGGGCGCCGTGGTGTGGAACATGCGCGACACGGCCTCGATGAAGCGCTGGGCCTCGGGCTCCACAAAGTCCTGCAGCAGCCCCAGGCGCTGCCCGTACAGCACGTGGCACACGGCTGGGGACGGGCACTGTCAGGGGACGTGGCATTGTCCTTGTCACCGTGGCCATGGGGACCGGCCCGGGTGCTCCCAGTGACAATCAGGGACCTGGCCCTGTCCCCATGGCCACGGAGACCAGCCCCAGGTGTTCCCAGTGATCCTCAGGGACGTGGCATTGTCCTTGTCACCACGGCCATGGGGACCAGCCCAGGTGCTCACAGTGACAATCAGGGACCTGGCCCTGTCCTTGTCCCCATCCCCGACTACCCCGGGTGCTCACAGTGACAGTCAGGGACCTGTCCCTGTCCCCATGGCCACACAGACCACCCCGGGTGCTCACAGGGACCATCAGGGACCTGTCCTTGTCCTTCTCCCTGTCCCCACGGCCATGGAGACCAGCCCCAGGTGCTGTTAGTTACCATCAGGGACCTGGCCCTGTCATTGTCCCTGTCCCCAAGGACACGGGAACCACCTCAGGCGCTCCCAGTGACCATGACGGACACGTCCCTGTCCTTGTCCCCATCCCTGTGGCCATGGAGACCTGGCCCAGGTGGTCCCAGTGACCATCAGGGACCTGTCCCTGTCCCCAAGGCCATGGGGATCTGGCCCAGGAGCTCTCAGTGACCATCAGGGACATGTCCCTGTCCCCAAGGCCACCTCCAGCCTTGCCATGGCCATGGGGACCTGGCTGGGCTTCCTGTTTTCTCCTGCAGGGTCAGGATTGTCCCCAGCTGGTGGCCAGTAAACGACACAAGGGGCTTTTGTCAACGGTGTCCCCGTGCTCTGGGCTCGTCTGGGGAGGGGACATCCCAAATGGAGAGGGGACATCCCACCAGGGGAGGGGACATCCTGCCTGGGGAGGCGACATCCTTCTTCACTCTCCTTTGGGCTTTGAGGAGAAGCTGGTTGGCCAATCCCTGAGGACGGGGCTGGGGCTTTTGGGGTGTTTTTGGGGGGATTTTTGGGGTGTTTTGGGGTGTTTTGGGGGGGATTTTTGGGGTGTTTTGGGGTGTTTTTGGGGGCACTCACACTCGAGGGCGAAGCGGAAGAGCTCCTGGCTGAAGTCAGCCGTCCAGCACTGGCGGCCGCTCTGCCGCGCCTGGGCCCGCGCACGCCGCACGAAATCCTCGGCCACGGCGCTGAGCAGGGGCACGAAGCCGGGCACGGCCTCGGGGGCCAGCACCTCCTTGTTGAGCAGCAGCCGCTCCGAGCGCCAGGCCTCGCCCGTCCTGGGGGACACCCAGCGGCCCCATGGCACCCCCGGGGTCCCCGTCCCCTGCCAGCCCTGCCCCGCGCCCCCGGGACTGTCCTGACAGGAGCCTGGGCTGGGGTGACGCTGCCTTAGAGAGGGACAGGAGCCCGGATTTGGGGTGTCACTGACCCAAGGAGGGACAGGAGCCCGGGTTTGGGGTGCCACTCACTTGGGGAGGGACAGGAGCCCGGGTTTGGGGTGTCACTCACTTGGGGAGCTCAGATTTGGGGTGTCACTCACTTGAGGAGCTCGGATTTGGGGTGTCACGCTATGGGGAGCTCAGATTTGGGGTTTCACTCACTTGGGGAGCTCAGATCTGGGGTGTCACTCACTTGGGGAGGGACAGGAGCTCAGATTTGGGGTGTCACTCACTTGGGGAGGGACAGGAGCTCAGATTTGGGGTGTCACTCACTTGAGGAGCACGCCGTAGGGTTTGTTGCGGAAGTCACGGTAGGCCACCCACGGGGGGACGCTGAAGCGCTCGGGCAGGGTCCCCTCGGCCTGGAAGAGCGTGGCCGCGTCCCCGGGGCTGATGATGTTCACGCTCTCGTAGACTCCCAGCTTCTCCCTGGGGGGGACCCCCAAATCAGCCGCCCCACGGCCCGGGGGTGTCCCCGGGGAAGCAGCGGGATCGGGGCCCGGGCGGGCACGGGGAGGGCGCGGGGAGCAAATCCCGCTCCCCTCCTGCGGGGATCAGGGCGGGATCCTCGCCAGCCCCGCGTCCCAAAATCCTGCGGTCAGCAGGCTCTGCCCCACGGGGACTGTCCCCACCGGGACTGTCCCCTCCTGCCCCACGGGGACTGTCCCCACTGGGACTGTGTCCTCCTGCCCCACGGGGACTGTCCCAACCGGGACTGTGTCCTCCTGCCCCACGGCATCTGTCCCCTCCTGACCCACAGCCCCTGTCCCCTCCTGCCCCACGGGGACTGCCCCCTCCCGTGTCCCCTGCCGATGTCCCCAAGCCGGGCCAGACTTCTCCAGGAGCTCAGCCCCACCCCCTCCCCCTGCCCAGGGGTGGGGACACGGGAGGGACACAGGAGGGACACGGGAGGGGACAATGAGGGACACGGGAGGGACACAGGAGGGACACGGGAGGGACACAGGAGGGACACGGGAGGGGGACACGGGGGACACAGAAGGGACACGGGAGGGGACAATGAGGGACACGGGAGGGGACACAGGGGGGGACAGGGCCACCTCACCTGTAGATGGGCCCGAACTGTCGGAACTTGCGGGCCATGATGAGGTGCAGGTTGGTGAGGCCGCCCTCCTGCCAGAAGCGGTACAGGTTGAGCCAGCCCGCTCGCCACTCGCCCGGTACCTGGCTGAAGGGCCGGGGGGCCGAGGGGACAGCCGAGGGGACAGCCGAGGGGACAGCCGAGGGGACAGCCGAGGGGACGGCGGTGGCAGTCCCGCCGAGCCGGCGACAGCGCGCGGCTGCGGCGCGGGGACATCCCCGCAGGGCTCCGGGCTTGGCGGCGAGGAGGGCGAGCATGGGGAGGGTGGCCCGGAGGGACGGGGCGGCCTCGCTCTTATCCCGGGCCCGGAGAGATGCTCCCGCCCCCCGGGACCGCCGCGGGCCACCCCGGCCCCAGCCACAGGTGACACGGTGGCCTCGGGGGAAAGGCGGGATCTGCCCCAAAAATGATAACGAGGCTCGGCTCGGGTCAGCCCGGCCGGGCTCAGCCTTGGGGGCTCCCAGCCAAGGTCACCCCCGGCCGGGGACGGCCTTGGGGACTCGGTGCCGCTGCTGGGGGCGCCTCGCGTGGGCCCCCGCCCGGCGAGGGGGGCAGGTCCGGCATTCCCGGGCTCCATCCCAAATCCCGAACACCCCCCGCCAGCAGGGAAAGGCTTTTGGGGTGTCCCGAGCCGGGGACGAAGCTGCGGCCCCCGAGGGTGGTGGCACACGAGGTCTCTTGTCCCCGGGGGCGACAGCGGGGGAGGGGGACACGGGGAGGGGCACACGGGGAGGGGCACACGGGTCTCTCTGGGGTGTCCCCGGCACGGGGATGAGCAGCGGGGATGAGCCGGGA